AGATAATGCCACTAAATCACATTAAAGTAAGCAGGGATTGTTTTCTTTTCATCAATCCAAACAAATTTCCCTATTTTTCTTTCTTTTTTTTTTTTTTGGTCTTCCCTCAGGATTGAAACATGGTGATATCACAAATCATTGGTTTAATATCTAGAATATAGTTCAGTATATATGAAACTCAAAATCCTTACACAAAAGACTATAACCCTAAGGCAGACCCTTAGTCTGAAGTCCAAAATTGACTATAGCATCAGATCCTGATATGATGTGGGGGAAATAACTTATGTGAAATTCTCCATTTTATCATCTATGAAGTTAGGAGTTAGGGAAATGATTGCTTGCCTGCCTGCCTGCCTGCCTCACAAGAGTCTCTGAGACTTATATAAAATAAGGAGTGAAATCCTTTTCATATTGTGAAATGCATACATGAATATTATTGTATTAGTATTTTTTTTCTTATCTTTTAATTTTGGGAGAAAAGTTATCAAGTAATTCTAGAGCTTTTAAAGAATTTTATAATTAGGTTCTGAAGAAGGTTTTCCCAGTCACGTGGTTCTATATACATCTCCTGGAAGAATTAATGTCATATTTTCAGTCAATTCAGTGAGACCGGTAAATAGAATTAGACAGCATTGTATTAACATTAACAATTTGTTGAAAATACTATCTAGTTTGATTTGGTTTTGTAAGTTGGTTAATGCTTTCCCAACAGCATTTATTGAACACACTATCAATTTTTTTCCCTATGATTCTTTGAGGCACTTTTGTTGAAAATTATATTTCTCTAGCTGTGTAGGTTTATTTTTGAGTCTTCTATTATATTCTATGTGTCTCATGTCTGCTTTTTTACCAGTAAAATATTTTTTGCTATATTGAGACTGTAGTAGAATTTGGGATTAAATATTATTCTTTCTGCTTAGAATTTGGTTATTTAGGGTCTTCAGTGATTCCATATGAATTTTAGGATGGTTTTTTAGTTATGCAAAGAATGCCTTTGAAATTTTATTGGGAGTTGCAGTGAATCAATAGATGACTTTCAGTAATATACTCATAATATTAACTCTGCCAGTTCATGAATGAGGGAATTATTTCCGTTTTCTAGTTTTCTAGAACTGTCTTCTACAGTTTCTTTCATTGTTTTAAAATTTTCATCAAAGAGGTCATTGATTAGGTTTATTCTTAGGTTTTATTAATTTTTAAAATTTTATTTATTTTTACTTTATGTGTATGAGTGCTTTGCCTGCACGTAAGAGCACCCACGCATGAAATGCCCACAGAGGCCAGAAGAGGGCATCAGGTCCCTTGGAACTGGAGTTGCAGATGGTTGCGAGCCACCATGTGGGTGCTGGGAATCGAACCCAGGTCCTCTGAAAGAACAGTCAGTGCTCTAACTGTTGAGTCATCTCTCCAGCCACAGGTTGTTGTTGTTTTTAAAGGTTTTATGAATGTGATGTTTTTCCTGGTAATTTCATTACTAGTAAATGGAAAGGCTACTGATTTTAGTATGTTGATTTTGTAGCCTGTTTCTTTGCTGACAGTGTGTATCAGATCTAAGAATTTTCTGACGGAGCACTTAGCATTTTGGATCTTTTAAAAAGAGTATAAAGTCATCTTCAAATGTTTGTATTCCTTTTATTTCTTTCTAATTTCTCTAAGAATTTAATCCTATATGAAATAAGAGTGTTGAGAATGGGTACCTTTGTCTCATTTCCAATTTTAAACAAATGCTTTCAATTTTTTCCCCATTTAGTATAATGTTGCCTATAGGTTTATCACATGTAGCCTTTATTATGTTGAGATATTTTTCTTCTAGTCTTACTTTCTTCAGACCTTGTATCATAATGAAATGTTGTCCTACTTAGCTTCTGCTGTCATTTTGTGACAACCTAGACTCACCTGGGAAGAGGGAACCTCAAGGAATTAGCTAGATCACACTGGTCGGTGGGCATGTCTGTGGGACATTGTCTTGATCGACAATTCAGATAGGAGTGCTCAGCCCACTGTGGGCATCATGATCCCTAGGGAGGTGGGCCTGGACTATTGAAGAAAGCTAATGAAGCACAAGCCAAGGAATGAGTCAAAGAGGGAGCCAGTAGGCAGTCTTTCTCCATGGAGCCTGCCTCCATGTTCCTGTCTTAAGTTCCTGCCCTGACTTCCCTCATTGATGGAATGTGATCTGGAAGTATAAGATGAAATAAATTCTCTCCTCCCCTAAGTCACCTTTGTACATGCTGTTTATCACAAGATCAAAAAGGAAACTAGAAGAGTTGTAGAACTTTGTCAAAGGCCTTTTCTTTCTTTTTAAAAATTATTTAATTTTAAAAATTTTATTATTTTTATTTTATGTGTATGAGTGTATTCCCTGCATGTATGTGAGTGTACCCGTGTAGTGCAATGCTGCAGAGGTCAGAAGAGGGCTTCGGATTCCCCTGGAACTGGAGTTAAGGATGGTCCGTAGCTGCTATATGGGTGCTGAGACTTGAACCCGGGTCCTCTGCAAGAGCAGTCAGTGCTCTTAATCACTGAGCCATCTCTCTACCCCCCCTAAAATTATTTAATTTTTTATGTGTATGAGTCTATTGCTTGCATGTATGTAAGAGCACCCATGTCATACAATGCTCACAGACGTCAGAAGAGGGCGTCAGATACCCTGGAACTTGAGTTAGGGCGATTGATAGCTGTCGTGTGGTTACTGGGAATTGAACTCAGGTCCTCTGCAAGAGCAATCAGTGCTCTTAATCGCTGAGTCATCTCTCCAGCCCCATCAAAGGTCTTTTCTGTGGCTATTGAGATGGTTGTGTGATTTCTGTCCTTAGGTGGATTTATGTTTTCACATTATGTTTATTGATTTGTGTATGTTGAGTCAACCCTGCACCCCTAGGAGGAAACCAATTTGGTCATGGTATATGATCTTCTTAGTGTTTTCTTGAATTTAACCTGCAAAGTTTATTTTTTATTTATTTCTCTCTCTCTCTCTCTCTCTCTCTCTCTCTCTCTGTGTGTGTGTGTGTGTGTGTGTGTGTGTGTGTGTGTGTATGCAGGTTCCCACAGAGGCTGGAAGCCTCAAATACCCTGGAAATGGAGTTACAGGAAGTTGAGAGCTGCCCAACGTACTAGGAATCAAATTCAGGTCCTCTGCAAGAGCAAGAAGTATGTGCTCTTAATTGCTAAGCCACCCCTCCAGCCCATCTGCCTTGTTTTCTGATGCTGGGTCTCTCAGTGAACTTGGACATCAGTGATTGACTGGTCAGAGAGCTCCAGGGATCTCCCTGGCTTCCACTCCCAGTGCTAGGGCCACAGATGTGCACTACTATGCCTGGCTTTTATGTGGGTTCTGGGAGGTCCAAACTCAGGTCTTCATATATGAGCAGCAAGCACTTTACCCACTGAGACATCTCTCCAACCTTAGGATTTTCTTTATGTAGTTTTATACTACCATTGTCAATCTTTGCCCTTTTGTTTTTCCTGCCCATCTCATCCTTTGTGGTCCCATTTGTTTTACCTTCATTGGGACCATGTCAATGAATTAAGCCTGACTCATCTTCTACTGTTGCTCTAAACCAGTGGTACTCAAACCTTAGGGTACACAAAATCCCTCCAAAGGGCTGCTTAGAAAGCAGACGGCAGGCATCACCCTAGCACTGCTAATTTAGAGATCTTGAATGTGTCCTTAGAATTTCTATCAGGTGCTCAGTTGATGATACTGCTAGTGCAGAGACTACTTTTTGAGAGCCACTTCTCCAAATCAAAGTCTAAGCTCAGGACCAGCATCACCACGTGTCCACTTTGCAACTTGGGCCACCCATAATATTTCCTTTAAAATCGTATAAGTTGATCCACATGCATAACTTAAATGTTCTAGAGCAACATTAAAAATGAAAATGAAGCTAGATGTGGTAGTTCATACTTTTTTTTTCTGTAGTCAATAAGCGTATTTTTTTATTGTCTGTTTGTTCTACAGTGCTGGGGATGGAACCCAGGACCTCACACATGGTAGGCAAGTGCTAGACCCCTGAGCCACATCCTCAGCCCAGTTTAAGAAGAGCTCTCTACAGACACTAGTGCCCCACCAACCCACCTTGTAATTCATACTTTTAGTCCCAGAAATCTAGAGGCTGAGATAGTAGGATCATTGAGACTTCAAGGCTAGCCTAGGTTACATAGTGAGATATAGATCGGTTTGGACTAAGGAAACCTGATTGATTTTTTTTTTTTTTAGAAAGCCTTTTGAAAGTCTCAAAGAATTAAGAAGATATATTAGGGCTAGAAAGATGGCTCAGTAGACATGGGTTCGAATCCCAGCACCCACACAGCAACTAACAACGGTCCATATCTCGGGTTCCAGGGAATCTGACACCCTCTTCTGGCCTCTGCCAGCACTGCAAGACATGTGTGCACTTACATGCAGGCAGAACATTCATACACATAAAATTAAAAAATAAATTTTTAAATTAAAAATTGTCTAGACTTGGGGCTGGAGAGATGGCTCAGCAGTTAAGAGCACTGACTGCTTTTGCAGAGAACCCAGGTTCGACTCTCAGCACCCACATGACAAGTAACAACCATCCGTAACTCCAGTTCCAGGGGCTCTGACGCCCTCTTCTGATCTCCGTGGACACTGCACAACATGAATGTACTTACATACATGTAATATGATGCACTCATACACATAAAATAATGAAATATTTAAAAAATGAAATAGGTAGAAAATGGTGGACAGTTATCCCTTCCAAATGAACATGAAAGAAGCAAAATAGAAATTTGAGTGTTGCCTCAAAACATGCTTGTTTTATTTTAGTCCTGTAAAACAATTTTAGTTTGAACTTGAACACATGCTGTCAAATACTTAAGGAGCAAAGACAAATATCATTGGATGTCACTAGTGAACGATGAACTTAACTTGAAGTATTAATGAAATATTGCTTGGCTTCTAAGAAGTGAAAACCTAAACATAACGAAGATTATAAGCCGTCTTCTTTATTCTTTTCTTCCTATTCTTCTTAACTACAGATAAAAATGAGAGAAAATGAATAATTATGCAAAGCTAATCTATTTCTTATATTTAAGAAATAATCAGCCCTTATGCATGCCTGCTGCATTTGTGCTATATCTCAACAAGCAGAGATCAGCATGCTTTCTTCTTATGACTCAATCCTATGGATTGCCTATGCAACCAATCACTTGATCACACCAGCCTCTCTCCCTCTTGGCTATTGCTAGAGATGTTAGGTGTGTGTTCAGACACATGCATGTATGCTCTGAGATCCTGAGAATCAGACCCAGAGGCTTGCACATGCCAATCCCACTCTCTACCATTGATCTACAACCTCAGTCTTTGTTTGTTTATGCATCTTGAAAGGCCTTTCTGGCATTTAAATAAATCTCTTGAGCTATAAAAGCCCGTGCTGGTTCCACAAATACTTCCTTACCCTCCCAGACCTTTCACATCTGTATTTTCTTTAGACAGGGTCTCCCTGTAGCCCCAACTGTCTAGATTCTCTATATAGGCCAGGCTGGTCTTGATCTCATAGAGAGCCACCTGCCTCTGTCTCCTGAGTGCTGGGATTTTAGGCATGCACCACCATGCCTGGCTTCCATACATTTTTGGAAATACTGAACTGTGAAAAGACAAAAAAAATCAAAAACAAAAAGGAACATTTCTAATCATTTAGTACACTTAAAGACAAGATAAACCTTAAATTTTATCAATTCAGTGATAAATTATCATATTAGGACTGAATTTATTTATACTGACATAAAGCATACAAATGTACAGCTAAATGAATATTTAGGTATTAATCACTAAAAGTGATCCTACTTGAAATTTTTAATGTTTTACTATTCGCTTATAGTGGTCTATAAGATATTGTTTCCTTGTTAATACAGGAGATTGCATTACTGTGGCCAGGTAATGAGGACTCAACTAGTGCCTGGTCCAGCCACAACCACTACTGCTTCTTGTAACTGTTCTCTGTCTTCGTCTGCTATGGGTATTAAGTCTAATACATTTACTGTATGTTAGTCTTACATTAGTTGACAAAAGACCTCAGAAAAACTGATAAGCAGTCATGAAGAACACACTACATTTTAGATTTGTTTGTACATGAGTATCCTAGTAACAATTATTATTATTATATATTAT